GTTTATCTTAGACTATACAATCTTAAATTTCTACACAATGTCCTGATGAAAAAAGAATAGAGATCTTAGTGTTTTTGTTCGTTTTGCAATGCATTTGGATAATTTGTTATTAATCTGATACTGAAGTAACATGAAGTGCCTAGTTCTTTTTAGAAATGGTATAAAGGTTCTGTAGGTATACAAAGACTTCAGCTGTGGAATTGGTAATAAATAAGCGTCTCTAGGTTAATTAGGAAAGAGAAATTTCCATAGGTTCACAAATATATTTCATAGATTAGTTATTTTATAATCAGTGACACTGGAAATTTTAACATGTAATCACCCTTCAAATGTATTTTTAGTGAAAACAAGAATAAAGTTATTGTGAAAAAATGATAACAGTGGTGTGGTTGTGACTTTTTAGACAAGTATATAAGCCATCTTAATATTCTTGGAGCAGAATCAATGTGTTGGCACCTACACTGCTTCCCCTGCTTTTCGGTCGATGCAACAGGCCCTAGTTTTGGTATAAAGATGTATTAATAAAGAAGCCTCAAGGTACTTAGAAGATTTCTTTACGACTAAAATCTGTAATTATAATCTAAGAGAGCAGGGAACACTTTTAACGCTACCCAATTTTTAATCTAGAATGGCGCCATAAGTCATTCTCATTTCAGTGGCGGCAAAACTCTGGAATTCGTTACCTACGTATGTTAGAAACGCCAAGGATATTTTTACTTTGAAATGTCTTTTAAAGAAGCAGGTTTTTTAGATAGATTTAATAATGGTAATTTAAAATTATTTCTTTTTTTTTTTCGTTTTACTTTTTTTTTTAATGTTTTTCGTTTCACGCACATGTTTAAACAAGTTTTTATCACTCCTAGATTCAGCGTGGGTAAATAAAGAATTGTTATTGTTATAATAATAATAGTAAAGGTTTTTATTAAGAATTATTGTGCAAACAGACGTGCAACAATTAACATGAATAGAATGAATAGGGAAAAAGAAAAGGTATTAATTACTATTGAAAAGACATCTATTAATAAAAACTGATTTAAAACGGCTTGTCTGAACCTTAGGTAAAATATAATTATGCGACCTAGTTCTCAACTGCCGTGTTCTCTGGGGAGGTAAGAGATCGCTCAACGCAGTGTTGGTGGAAGAGATCCTTTGCCATAATTTCTTATCTCTATTACAACGGATATCCAAGATACTGTGTTGCTTTAAGCAGTAACCCAGCTTATAACACCTGGCAAAGAGCTTATCAATTCTACTTAAATATTTACTATAAAAAGCACACCCCCAGACCTCAATAGCATATGTAAAAACTGAAAGAATCAAACTTTGAAAAAGTAAGTCCAAATTCTCAATAGGGTAGCCATAATATTTACATATTCTCAAAATATACAACCTACTGCTAGCCTTACTAAGTAG